GGTCATGTTACTTTGTTATGGACACCACGATAGATCATGTGGCTTTGTTATGGAAACTTTGAACAGTCAAAACTATGAACTGTCATATGACTTTGTTATGGAAACTTTGAACTGTCAAAACTATGAACTGTCATGTGACTTTATTATGAAAACTACGTACTGTCAAAACTATGAACTGTCAAAACTATGAACTGTCATGTGACTTTGTTATGAAAACTACGTACTGTCAAAACTATGAACTGTCAAAACTATGAACTGTCATGTGACTTTGTTATGGAAACTTTGAACTGTCAAAACTATGAACTGTCCAAAAATTTTAACTTCGATTTTTTGAAAATAACATTTATCGGGATAGCCCCCTTGTGTTGAAAAGCGACCAATTAACTATCAGACACTGCGCTGGGTGGGTGTCATTCAGTGCCAGATCTGCAACAAACATCGGCGATCATGGTTCTCCATTCTTTCATTTGCTCGGATGCTCTTAAAAAAGCTACGATTTCCTGATCTTTCCCAGGTGCTCTTTTGTTTAGGTATCCTAAGTAGGTTGCTCTGGGCCTACCCTGACTCGTTTGCCTTCAATTTTGTAAGTGAGAGCTAAATGATCAAGACTTTTACTTTTATATCTATCCAGGTGTCCCAGAAACTGTATTTGTCGTTTCCTGATTATTTTTAACAGTGAGTGTCCCACGTTGGCTTCATCAAACGTTTGATTTCTTTTCCTTCCATGATATTCTCAGCATTCTCATAAGAAACCACATTTCTGTCGCCTCTATTTTATTTTCACTATCTTTAGCGATTGCCCAGTATTCACAGCCACATAGAAGCGTTGACCATACATAGCTGGGTGTATAGTTGATTGAACACGGTTGGCCTTTCGTCAAAACCAGATTGTTTAACCCTATCCATACGTCGTGTTTTACTATCGTATTCATAGGACGTGGGGAACTCTGTGCCACCACTTTCTAAAGAGGAATTCATTCGTTAGTCCGATCCGTATGTTTTGCACAGCCTAGCAGTCTGTCAAAATGATTTTTTGAGAAATATTGAAATTTTAAAAGACATCTTCGTACTAGAAGCATTCTAAAATGTGAAGAATACAACCCCGGGGGTACAAAATGACCTCAGGGCGTACGGGTAGGGTTAAGGAGGTATCGCGCTGTGCAGCAAAGCGTGCCATGGGGCTCTCGTGGTCTAAAAGTTAAGGTGTTCGCCTCTCATTCAATACGTCCCGGGTTCTAATCCCGATAGTGACGGGAAATTTTCTTCTCTTTTTTTTTTCTTTCACATCCTTTCCTGTTCTCTGATAATGTTCTTTCGTCTGCTTTTGTCTCCACTTTCTGTCCTCACCCCTCACCTCCTTTGCCCCCTCCTCTAGACTCCTGACTCTTTCTGCAGTCCTTTTACTGCTAGTCCCTGGCTCCTTCTTAATGCTGTCTTTCAGCCTCACCCCTGATCTTCTGGTAGGAAAGATCTACACCTAGCCTTCTCGGACAAGGGCGAAAAATCTCGGAGGTCCCGTGTGCAAGTTGCTCACGTTAAAGACCCCTTGGGGGTTCAAAAATCGATACGAATAGGCTTCGACCGCCATCCAGACAAAATTCCAAATTTCCTACAAACTGAAAATGTTTGATGTGTCCTGCACGTTCATGTGACCTTATGCAATTGCGAGCGCCGAAAAACACGTGCCAAAATAAAACAAAAACCAACAACAACAAACATTTTGTTTAAGGGGGTCTT